GCTGACCTTCCCCCTCCTTGGTGTCAGCATGGCCCTCAGTCAGACCCTGAGTGCATGACTGGACTAATGCCAGCATGCTTGATGCCCCTCTTGGCCTAGCACAAGCACTCGTTCCTGGCAGAGTTTGCCCAGCCTAATTGCCTGTTTTGTATCCCAGCTGCCTGACATATGCCAAGCTCATGTGTTGACTCACTGGTGTCAGAGACAACTACACTCAGGATTTCACATTGGCTTTGGTGAGCTCCAGCAAGCAACTGAGGGCTGCACTGCATGCATTTCTGAAACCCCCAGCACCTAACACAGTGCCTAGCAATTTAGCAGGTACCCAGTTTTTTTTATGATGTTAAAGTGAATTTTAGTGACTACAGATATATAACAGTAGTAAGAATAAAGACCTAGAAGTAAGAAGTCCTAGCTTTGAGTGTCAGCTCAGCCAATTGAGTTCTTTGCTGTCTGACCTTGGAGCAAGTCTTTCTCTCTGAGTTTCAGTGACTTGCTCATTTTTTACCTAACGAAGTCTCAGAGAGCAATATCCCATGCTTACTGTAGTCACCAGAGATGCGGTCCCACCCTCCTCTAGCTCACAGATAAGTATGTAAGAGAGCTATGTAAATGTGAATCCAATATAACAAAAGCCTGATATGCTAAGCGTGCAGTCATCCAGTCGGTCATTCAACCAATCAAAGTATAATATGCTAATGATATGCTAAGGCCGCTCAAACACTTGCTATGACATGCACTGATCACCAGGGGGTAGATAGTCAACCTGCCGACCAGTCGCAATGATGTGCACTGACCAACAGGGGGCAGACGCTCCAACCGGTAGGTTAGCTTGCTGCTGGAGTCCGGCAGATCGGGACTGAGCAAGACAGGCTGGACACGCCCTGGAGCCCTCCCACAGTCCCTCCCTGGCTGGCCAACCTCCCACGTCCCTCCCCGATTGTGCGGTGAGGTCCCTTGGCCTGGCCTGCACCCTCTCACAATCCGAGCTAGGGGACCACCCCACCCCGCCTCCCCGAGTGCCCAAATTTAGTGCACCGGGCCTCTAGTGATATAATAATATGACAGTCACTGTCATGGAGAGATACCTGGAAGATTTAGAGGACCTGGAAGGTTTAGAGGAGGTGTGATAAATTGTGCCAGGAAAAACTGATAATAGCCTCACTGAGGTGATGACAGCTTAGTGGGGACTCTGAGGATGAGTAGAAAATAACACCCCAAAACTCCATTATGCCAAGACAGTAACCAAGGGAAAGCAAAACACATCAAATATAGGACAGATAAGAAGAAGATCATATGAGCCAGCTGGGAAGCCAAGTTGGTGACTATGATTTGTACCCTCTGTTAGTGATTTCTTGCCAAGGTCGTCTTCCATTGTGGAATGTCATGGTCAAAGCAGCAACGATTTCTTAGCCACATTGTCCCTTTGTATAGGGTTGGTGTTCCAGTGGAATACAGAAGCCGGCTCATACAAGCTCAGGAGAACTGACTTGTGAGGAATTCTGCAAGCTATTTTTTTTTTTGTATTGATTTTTGTTTTTTAAAGAGAGAGAGGAAGGGAGAGGGAGAGAGAAACATCAATGTGAAAGTGAAACATCTATCAGGTACCTCCTTCACAACCCCCTACTAGGGATCGAGCCCAAATCCCAGGCACATGCCCTGACCAGGAATGGAGCCAGCAACCTTTTGGTGCATGGGACAATGCCCAACCAACTGAACCACACTGATCAGGGCTATAGGCTAGTTTTTAAACACGAATATTATTAAAAAATTAAATTATATAAAATTAAACTTGAAGAAATTATATTTTTAAAAGGTAATAAATAATCAAAACTTATCACTTCCTAGTTATTTTACTGTATTTTTGCTCTGGAGTTTATTTGGGTCTACTAGTATTGTATCTCTGTGGTGGAAATACTATATGACGGTATATTACTGTGCCTCTCTTCCCAGCTCTGGGTTCAGTGACATCTCATGGGTAGTTGAAATCAGCCATCACAGAAGTATTTACACCACAGATATAGGCAAATGCTACAAATTAAAACTATTTTTCTTTCAAAAGTCAATTGTTCAATGTTTGGCAGTACACCACTGGTGGCATCCATTAAATAAATGGACGAAGAAAAAAAAAGCATTTGGAAGCCCAACACCCACATCTTTTTAAACCTCCCTGAACAAAAACATGTGGCAGGAGACACATTTCAGAGGCCTCCGCAGAGCAGACTTCCCCATCTCCTTTGTTCCAGGGAAGGCTTTATGTTACCCTGGATTTTCTTGACAACTGAAAATCATGGTCAAACAGGAGGAAGATGGAAGTGTTTTTCTCCAGGACTTCATTCCTGAGCCAAATGTCTGTTTTGGCAAGAGGTCTCTGTGGCCTACAGCGGCACAGGGAGTCAACTTAATCTTGTCCAGAATCCAAAGCAATCCATAGGAGCCTGGGCTAAAATGACATCTGCTCTGGCTTGCTGAAGTGGAGGTCACAGGATAGCCAAATGGTGCTGATTTCACGTTTCCCAATTATCAGGGGATCCCCAAAGAAAGATAAATCAGAGGAGGCTGGCCCACATGTGTCCGAGGGGCAGCAATTAGGGCAGCCCCCAAAGGAAACCATTTCCAGAGAGCTGGTTATTGTCCAGGCAGAACCTGAAGACACACATGTCAGGAGAAGGCTCCATAGGGGCCAGCACTAGGGGATGGGATCTGTTAGTAATCCTCTATCTAGAAGGACCAAGTTCCAGCAGTAAGAAATTCAATTTTCCCCCATTAAAGAAAGCATCTCTCAGCACCAGCTGAATACAATTAATGGAATAAATCTCCCATTAGCGGAGAGATAATTTTGCCTAAATATATCAGGAGACCTTCAGAGCAGGACTGAGAGTCTTTGCTGAGCCTTGCCCGCTTAACTTGTTTGCCATGTAATTGCATTTAGACCAAGGGCCTCGGAAGGAAACTACTGACTGAATTAGCATTAACCAGATTGTGTGTCAGGAGGTGAGGTGGGGTGGGGTGGGTGGGGGGCAGGGAGTGTGATGCATTGTGGGTAGTTGTTCTTACTGTTCTTGCCTTCAGAAAGGACAAGCTGACACCAGTGAGACCAGCTGCTTACAAACCTGGTGTTAATTGCTTTTCTCATCCAACAGAGAAAAGTTTATCACTCTAGAAGGTAGAGATGTAAGCACCTAATAAAACAGAGGCTGCGTTTGAGAGTTTTTTTATGAATGCCCCCAGACCTCATCTGTGGCTCTTCCCTAGGCCAGAAAAAAAGCCTTCTGGACCGAGGCGAATGGAGAAAGTTGTGGGTACAATAAACACTTGCCTCTGATTTGCCAATGAGGGCTGCCTCCTCGCCCCCCCAGTGCCCTGATCCCTTATTACATTGACCTAGTGCTCACCTTCATTTCTACCCATTGCCCATAGTAAACAGACTGCTCTCGAGTTGGGCCCAGAGTTGTGAGGCCTGGATTCAAGGCCTAGCTCTGCCACCTCCTCTCTGTGTGGCTTGGGGCAAATAACATAACCTCATGGACCCCAGTTTCCTCCCATTCCTCTCATTCAGTGATTTTCCAACTGGCTTTTCTCTGGCTTCTGCAGGGACTACGACTCCACAGAGTTGCCTTCAGAATCACCCCGAGAGAAAAGGGGGTCCCCACCTAGCAGATCTTGCTTGTATTTGTTTTTCACTTTGGGGTCCTTTTAAAATGTCATCTGCCAAAAAGGCTTTGTTTCTGAAACATTAGGAAAAACACCATCATTCTTGATCATCTCTAATTGTCCCACCAACTTACTCAAACCACCTTTTTTGAAAAACAACAACAATGGCCTAGTACTTGTGAGGCATTTCCAGGCCTTGCAGAGAGAGAGAGAAATAGACCTTGACCCTACCCTCAAAGAGCTCATGACCTAGTGGAGAAGAGAAACATGTACGGTGGGGTACGGTCTCAAGGTGTTGAGTCAGGTTTTAGAAGAGAGTGACTAGTTCTAATTAGGGCCATCAAGAAAGGCTTCAGGGAAGAGGCATCATTAGAAGCTGGGTCTTAAAGGAGAAGAAACAGTGATAGAGGGTGCAGGGATTGCATTTGAGGCAGATGGAGGAACATTGCACAAACACAGGCTTTAACCAAATTTGCCTGGCGAGTTTGGGGGAAGCAGATGGTTAGTTGGAGGGAAAGTGGGGCGGGGGATATTGGGAGAGGTCACAGGTTTCAGAACCCACTCCAGGGGGACGATGCCAGCATCTGCCCTTCTCCTGTTTGCAATGCCAGATGCAAAAGTGCCCTCTATTCTGTTCACTTTCTCGTACGTCCACTTCCAGTGAGACTATTAGAGGCAATAATAACCACTGTCATTGGTGGAGCTTACTGTGCACTAGGATGAAAAAACAGATTCAAAGAGCTGTCACATATTGTGCAGGTTTAGAGAGTTGGAAAGTGGCAAGAGCTGGGGTTGAACACAAGTCACAGGACTAGAGATTCACATGCATAACTACACTGTATAGCCCTCTCAGATCAGCTTTAGCTCCTTACAGTATAAGATCGTATCCTTAGAAAAGGACCTCTGAGTGAGATATCTGAAAACATCTCCCAATAATAATTCTTCTTTAAAATGAATGTACTTATTTATTGAGTTTAGAGACAGGGAGAGAGAAACATCAATTTGTGTTTCCACTTATCCATGCACCCATTGCTTACCTCCTACATATGCCCTGAGGAGGGATCGAACCCACAACCTTGGCGCATCAGGATGATGCTCCAACTAACTGAGCCGCCTGGCCAGGGTCCAATAATAAATCTTTAGGAGACACTTTGATGCCTTACAATAAGGCAGTATAAAAAAAGAAAAGAATGTTATTATTCATTTGGAGTAAACACCATGAGCCGCAGAGTACCAGAGCAGTCTGAGCAACCTGCCTTCTGTCTTCTGACCTCCTGAGGCTCCCTGTCAGCCAGGGTTCTGTGCATGAGAAGTAGACCATGTTATTTACTCTTCTCTACCCACAGGCACGCATGTGTCATTCGTGGTCAAGTGATGACATCAGATGGGACCCCGCTGGTTGGTGTGAACATCAGTTTCGTCAATAACCCTCTCTTTGGATACACGATCAGCAGGCAAGATGGCAGGTAAGGGGCCTTTTGTTGACCAGGGCTAGTGAAGCCCTGCTCTCGTGGTCTTGCCACAGAACTGCTGTTGGAATGGCAACATGGAAAGACGATGGAATTTAGGTTCAGAGGACCTGAATTCAGATGCCCAGTTCTGCAACTCACTACCTGTGTGACCTTGTATCTCCCTCTGGCCTAAGTCCCTTTGGCTAAAAATTAAGCAGTTTCTTCTCATTTGGTTCTCACAGTAAACCTAGGGTACCTTAAATATAGTCTCCTGCCTCATGACTTAGGATATAAAACACTGCCTCGTGGACCACTGTCTACAGACCAGACAGCTCCAGAAGTCTTACCATTCCTGCTGTGTTTTCCATCTGCAACCACCTAGGTCTGTGGAAACCACTGAGTGAGGACAGAACTCTGACCTTGGGTCCCTGGGCATTTGCTAGCTATGTGTTCTTAGACAAATCTCCTCACCATTCTGGACCTCAACTTCTTTGTCTGTTAAATGGCCCTACCACTATCTAGCTCATAAATTGGCTGTAAGGATTAGATTCTATGATGGATGGGGAAGCACCTTGAACACAGCAGGTGTCTGATCAATCTCAGCTCCCTGCCCCACTCAGGTTCATTGCTGTATTTCCAAGGTCTGGCACGTGGTAAGTAAGCAATAAGTATTAGCTGTTTATTAAATTTACAAGTTATTAAATTATGAGAAGATAATGGTTACAGTACAAACAATAAGAACATTTTAGAGAAAAGGGGAGGGGAAGGAGGAAAGTGGAATATTTAGGCTGTCGGTGGTGACAAGTTCTCTATTTTTAATAAAATCAGGTGGTGGCAGTCCATCTGGCTAAGTGTGGGCCCATAAGGTTGATTTTCACTCTGGGTTGGAAATGATGCTGCAGCCTGATTGATTTTAGCACCTCTTTAATCCAATATCAGATGTGAACATGTCCCGGCTGAGGTGATAATGAAGCAGAGGCTCATCTGTTTGTAGACATGTGTGCCTCTTAATGGGTTGGCAAGCTTGACACGGGGAGCCCTCCCCCTTCCTCTCACTCCCTAGGAATGGGAAGGTGCCCAGCTGGAAGAGGTTGGTGGCCAGTCCCCACAGGTAATCTGGCCAGGCCAGGCCATGGCTCCCTGCCCTGCGCACGTTCCATCCCAGCTAGGGCCTCAGCACAGACTTCTCCTACAGCATGGAGGAATCTCCCTCCTCATTCTCTGTCTGCACTACCTTCCAGCTCAGGGCTGCCTACTTAATGGAAACAGCAGATGCCAGCATCGTAGGCAACAGTTATTCTGACTACTGACTACATTATTACGTGCCATGAAGCAGTCATCAAAAACAAGCCATAGGGACTAAAATTTGACCATCATTCATATGAGATGGCAAATGGTTGGTCCTTTGTCCTGTGCTTGGTAAGGGTGGGTCCATAAAACATATGTTTGGTAGCCCTTGGAAAAAGCTCACTCTAGTGCCTCCAGGCTGTGATCCCTCCTGTTTGTGCTCCCCCTGCAATCGCTACTGCCCCTTGAGAGCAGGGGTTCCTAAGAGGTAAGCATCAGCCATTTTTCCCGTATCAGCCTGCAAAATTACATCACAGTAGCCCAAGTTGCAACAACTCATAGCTTGGGTTTCAGGGCAGTTTTTGCAAGTGCATTATGGGGCTTAAATTTTCTTCCCAACATAGACCCTCATAATGTATGGGAAAATCTCTGCCTATCCTCTAAGTGTCTGAAGATCTCTGTTGTATGTGAATGGGTAGCATTTGTCCATGTTCCTTCCCCTCTTCCCTGCCTCCCTTTCTTTCTTACCTCTCAGATGCCAGGAGGAACTCTAAGACTAGAGATGTAGTTGGAGATGACAGTGTGCATATGCAAATCCAGGGACCAAGCCTAACTCATCTTTGTAACCTTCATACTCCAGGCAAGCCCTCATCCAGCCCACACATGCACAAACGCACACACATACATATGCTCTCATACACACACCCCACACTGACATGTGAGACCTCCAGTCTTAACAAGAATTCATAAACAGAAAACAGTACCAGAGAAGTTAGCCAAAAAGATCATTAAAAAGATGAAAAATACAAGTCATGAAGAAAAATTTCAAAAGAGTAGCAGACAAGAGAAGCAGTTCAAGCTCGTTGAATTGAAAAATGGGATTTATACAGAGCATGAGGCCCAGGGAATGGGACCTGCGCTTTTCCCATCCATTATCCCATCGATCTAATTAAAAACTCTGCCAAGTGATTATGATCATTAATTTCGTTTTACATGAAGAGATTGAGGCTCAGACAGGTGACATAACTCACCTGTGGAGTAAGCAGCAGAGCTTGGACTGGCCCAAAGCCGCTTGGGCTTCACCTGAAAACCGGGCCTCCCCTTTGGTGTCAGGTTCAAATCCACGTCCACTAGAAGGTTTCCCTCCAGAGGCCTGGCTCTTGGCAAGAGCTAATTCCACCGAGATCTTGGCAAGGCCAGCTGCCCACAGCTTGCTCACAGCCACAAGAATGTCTTTTCATGTTTGTCTTCACTCGCTTCCCCCACGATCCTCCTCTCATGAAGGGAGCTTGTAAGTCAGGCCAAAATTCTGTTTGATGGTTAAAAATTGTTCTGTCAAAGTACAGATGCTGTTCAGTCCGGGTGCTTCCCCAGCCATTGACATTCTGCTGTAGAGCCAAACCCGGAGCCTTAGTTCAAAACAAGCCCCTTCTCTCTCGTGACTTATCAAAGCAGGGTAGTGCCCAACTGTCTTTACCCAAGTGTGGGCCTAGGATGGCTGAGTGGGAAACAGGCAAAGTGGGTAAGAAACTTTTTGGGGGGACCCAAATCCAGAGGGTGTCACCTACCAAGATTTGGCACCAGGACAGAACATTCCATGGAAAATCTTTCCCTCCTAGAGGAGGGAAGAACAAGCTGGAACCATGAAGCCAATCCTACAAGGTACATTTACCAGGGATACAGGAGAGGTCCTGCATTGGGGTCTCTAACATCCACTGCACAGGTCGACATCTGGTTGAGTTACAGTAACAGCCAAAGTAAGGAGGAACTTAAGGTGTTTGATGGACAGTCAGTTCAGAAGATGTTGACAGTATCACTCGTGCATTTGTCTCTAAACTTCAATCACCAAGCACTGGACTAGGTTCCAGAAATACTGAGATGAATTAGCGTCCCTGGGCCAGAGAGTTCAAGTTGTGATACCAGGACAGCATGATGTAGCCTGTAAGGAGGAGTGCATGTGGTGCAAACGGCGCCCAGGGCAGGGAGCAAGAATACTGAGTGGGTAAAGAGTTAGCAGGAGTTCTCCTTCTAAAAAAAAGCAAGACGAGGGCAAGCCTTGAAAATGCATCCTAAAAGTAATAGCACAAAGGACTCTGTCCAAAAAGACAGACACCCCAGCCCGGAGGTGGCTGGTAGACAGAATCACTGTTTCTAACTCCTCAAGGATGGTCAAAGGCAGAAGGGACAGACTAGTTTCAAGTCACCTCAGCAGGTAGAATAAGAACCAGAAGCTAAGGAGTTATAAGGAGAGGGACCCAGACTCAATTAAAAAAAAAAATCTTGACAATCAGAATTAGCGAGAGGTCAGATAGTCCTCCTGTGACTATAGCAAGCTCCTTATCACTGGGACTGCGCAAGTAGGAACCTAATGCCTCCCCAATGGTGAGTTTGTAGAAGAAACTAATGTGTCATCAGGTTGGGAGAGGCCAATGACTGAAGGTCCTCAGGGGACGCTGTCATGGAGATCTCATCCCAACTGGGAGGCTGGGACTCAGTCTTCTGGTTCCCCATTCACTTCTGATGTACTGTGATTCTAACAGTGCGGCTCGAGATTGCATAGCCCTTTTGTGATCCCAAAGGCCTGTGCTGAGTAATGTATCATGCTCAGAACTAAAGCTGATGTAGAGTCATAGAATCTTAGTGACCTAAGAAGAGTCCATTTGAACCTTTACATTCTATAAATGAGAGAATTGAGGATCAGAGAGGCTAAGTGACCTACCCAAGATCACACAGTAGTTCTTGGCAGAGGCAGAACTAGGCTTAGGGTTCCTAATGCCAGGGCAGGGTTTGTTCCACTTTATTCTGCTGACTTTTCACTGAGCATCAGCTCAAGAGTCGTAAGTACCAGGAGCACCATAGCAGAGGCTCACCCACTGCCCTGTGTCTTGGCAAGTCACTCTCTGTCACAGTAGTGTTTAATTTGGCTTTGGCAAATTCTCTATTTTTTAAAAAAATACTTTGTGGAATATCTGTTTCTGTTTGTGTCTGCAGTGACACCTTTTAGGTTTTAAAGTCTCCTCAACAAGTGCTCAGCATCTTTGGTATAATTTTTTCTCCTTTCTCCATCTTTTTCCTCTTGCTGCTCATCTTCCTTCTCTTCCTCATCATCTCCTGTTTCTTGTTTTTCCTGCTCCCCCCTCTTCTCTTTTTCTCAACCCTCCTGCCTCCCAAACAGCTTTGACTTGGTCACAAATGGCGGCATCTCCATCATCCTGCGGTTTGAGCGGGCACCTTTCATCACCCAGGAGCATACCCTCTGGCTGCCTTGGGACCGCTTCTTTGTCATGGAGACCATCATCATGCGCCATGAAGAGAATGAGATTCCCAGCTGCGACTTGAGCAACTTCGCCCGCCCCAACCCTATTGTGTCTCCATCCCCACTGACATCCTTTGCCAGCTCCTGTGCAGAGAAAGGCCCCATCGTTCCGGAAATTCAGGTACCCAGCTTTCCTAACTGCATTTCTCCATGCCTTTATTTTATTTGGGGAGTGGAGGAGGAAAGAGAAAGAGATGCCATCAGCCCACCATGCAGAATCCAACTGCCTGGCACCCTCCATCCTAGAAAAAGTCCCTACTCTTCCACTCTGCCATCCAGTTCACTTCCACTTTCCTTCCCCCCAAGCTCCAGCATCCACCCTTCTCATTATTTCTATTAAAAATATCTATGGTGATAGGTTCTACCAAGTGAAGTGAGACAGAGGGATCCCCAATAGTGAGCATTATAATAAAGATGAAATGAGAAAATATCAATGAGGTGCCTAGCACAATGTCTGACACCTACTAAGAGCTCAATAAATTTTAACCATCATTATTATTAAGATTATTTTACATGCTCTGCCTTCTTGCCAATTAAGGATTGCTTTGGCTCAAAACTATATGTGCAAGTGCTTTCCTTAATTATCATTAAAATGAAGTAATTTGGAAAGAAGCATTGTAATCTAATAGAAATCAAGATAGATTCTCTGCCCAACAAAACTGTGTAGGGTTGAATTTTTTCCGCCATCCCTGCCTAGTTTCTTATGAGAGAAACAAGGCCTGGAGGAGAGGAGATTTGCGGGGAGGGGAGAGGTCGGGGAGAAGCCCCGTGGTCCTGCCTGCCTAATGAGAGCTCTGGCTACGTGCATGTCCCTAGGTTGCCAGTGCTGATGGAGCAGAAGATTGTTACATTTTTTGTATGTATATTTCATGCCTGGATGGGCAAACACATCTCTGTGTGTGTGTCCTGTTGAGTGGCTTCAGACGCTGCCCACAAGAAGAAAATACAGCCGTTTGGAAATCCTCATTGCACCCTGAGGTTGAAGCCTCAGTTCTTTTCAGAGATTCAGGGCTTGTCTCCTGTCTCAACTACCAGCTGACCTTTCTTAGGAAATGGCTGTCAGAGGAGACAAGGCTTGTTGGAGAGGAATAATTTGTTGCTCAACCCCAGTTCCGCTCCAGCTAGACATTTCCCCAGGAGCAGGGACTTTGGAACAAATGAGGTGAAAGGTCCCACCCTTCTTACAACGCTCCCTGGGCTGGGTCGCTCTGAGCCCCGCTGGGTCACAAACCTTGCCCCTTGCTTATTATCAGGTTGATGACATACATGAAAACAAACTTTTGGGTTTTCCCAGTCCACTCACTGGGGATCCTTTGCAAGGACTGGGAGATGTAAATTTTAAAGAATATGTTACAGAAAGTAAATATTTGTGAGAACATCGGGATGGCCCTTGAACCTGCCTGTGATTCCCTGGGGTATGGAGCCCACTTTGACTAGAACTTATAAGCTAAAATGTAGGAGGAGTGCTTTGGTTCAGGCCCAATCCCTAAAATTTTGTGTAGTCGGGAGAATGGGCTGCGGGTGGGGGTTCACACCTCTATATGAAATGGACAGAAAGCATTTCTTTGGGAAGGCCCAGTTGAACACAAGCGTGAGATATTCGTTGTCCTTTTAATGGCTATGTTAGCCTCGATTGATTTAATGTCCCCTTCCTGAAACAGAGCCCAGAGCATCAAGCTAATAAAAGTGCTCTGCTTTTGCCATGCTCCAGAAAATCCCAGCATTCATTTCAACTTTGTGCTGTGGATCTAAGCCCATCACACCCGCTGAGCCACTCTGTTCATCTAGCACAGCGCTGGAGCAGGAAGCGCCATGCAGCCAGTTCAACCTCTTTCTGTGGATGAGCTGGGGCATTCACCTCAGGCCCTTGGCAGGCTCTGAACCCTGGATAGCTGTTTGGTCAGCATCTCCTAGTCTCTGTTTACTTTGCTGAAGAAAAAGGCCATTGGAAACAGATCTTACTTTAGGAAAGTTTTGAGAGAGGAATGATCCTTGCTGAGGCAGCTGTCCTCATTAGTCTGAGGGGAAGATCCTTCTTCGTAGTGCCCCCTGCTCCCAGCACCGCCACCCCCAGCAGCACCATCATCCACCTAGTAGCATTTCCCAAGTCTCTGTTATATATGGGACCTTACGGAATCCTCACACCAATCCAGTGAGGAAACTGAAATTCAAGGTTCCATGAGTTTTCCAGAATGACACAGCTAGTGAGTGAGCGGTGACATTATGGTAAGTATTTTACACACATTATCTTATGAGTTACTCACATGCAGTGAGCTGAGCATCGTCATCCTTGTTGAATGGAGGAGGAAACTGGAGTTCAGTCAGGCAGAGCTGTGCCCTGTGAGAGCCAACCCTGCAAGCCAGGGTCTTCGCTCCTCTTCGTATTCTGCTTCCCACTCTTCTTCCTTCTCTCCCTTCTAGTTCCTGCTCCTCCTCTCCTCTCCTCCCCTCCTTCCTCTCTGCTTTCCCCTCTGCCCCTTGAACAAGAGTACAAGGGGTGTGACCATCTTCCCTGCACCAGTGACCCCATGCCCGTCACGCATGGTGATCTGTCTCTCTAGGCCTTGCAAGAGGAAATCGCCATCTCGGGCGGCAAGATGAGGCTGAGTTATTTGAGCAGCCGTACGCCGGGCTACAAGTCTGTCCTGAGGGTCAGCCTCACCCATCCGACCATCCCCTTCAACCTCATGAAGGTGCACCTCATGGTGGCGGTGGAGGGCCGCCTCTTCAGGAAGTGGTTTGCCGCGGCCCCAGACTTGTCCTACTATTTCATCTGGGACAAGACGGATGTCTACAACCAGAAGGTGTTTGGGCTCTCGGAAGCCTTTGGTAAGTCTCCCAGCCACAGGACGCAACACCATCCTCAGAGAGACAATCCAGAAAATCCCAGCATTCATTTCAACTTTGTGCTGTGGATCTAAGCTGTGGATCTTTGTGCTGTGGGGGGATGCGGCCCTTTTTCTTCTTACTCCTTTCCTCCTCTCAGAAGTACCCAAGGCTTAGTTGACCATCAAGACTTTCAGTGACCCTCCCTGACCTAAAAGAATGTACTCAAAGACCTGAATATGGAAAACTTGACCACTAAAAAAAAAAGAATTACAAAACCAAAAAGGTCCTTGAAAAAAACACAATGGTGGTTTGTGATGGGTAAAAGAGGTTTAGTGCCACCAAGATAGAGCCATGTGGACATTGCCGTGGCCCCCACAGCCATCAGGCCTGAACTTGCCCATTAAAAATATGGGTGTCTTGCCCTGGCTGGTGTTGCTCCGTGGTCTGAGCACTGGAGAGTTGCGGGTTCAATTCCCAGTCAAGGGCACATACCTGCAAGTTCAATCCTTGGCCCTGGTCAAGGAGTGTGTGGGAGGCAACCAATCAATGTGTCTATCTCACATCGATGTTTCTCTCTTTCTCCCTCCCTCCCTTTCACTCTCTCTTTAAAAAATCAATGGAGAAAGTAACCTGGGATGAGAATTAACAAATATATATATATATAGCTCCTGGGTCTCTCCAGGTTCATTGAGGAGTAAGATTCTTCCTTCCTCAGAAAGGCTTTGTGGCTCTTTACCTCGTTTCCAATCACAGAGGTTTTCTCTTTGTTGTTGTTATTGCTGTCATTTTTTAAAAGATGAAGCAGAAGGTGACTCACCTGTCCTAGAGTCCAGCTCCACCCAGACCTTGGGATTCTGGGGGCTGGGTGTGCTTTGGGATTAGAGCTGGACCCTGGGATTGGTTCAGAGCTGGACTGTTGGCAGTTCTAACCCTTGAGAGCTAATGCTACAAGCACTTAGAGCAGCGATATTCAACCGGTGTGCCACAAGAATTTTTAAAATGTGCAATACCTGACTAATCAGGAGCACTAACCTCTTTTTCTTTAGATTGTCAAATTAAAAAATGACAACAGCCAACACAACAATAGCCATCTGGTGTGAATAAATCAAAATTATACCTATATATTTTGTCAGCAAAAAATATATTCTTTGGTGTACAGAATTTTCATAATTATTTTATGTACACCATGAGATGAAAAAGGTTAAAAATCACTGACTTAGAGTAATACCCCAGGAAAACCCTTTCATCTTGAACACTACTCCTACCAGTTAAAAAGGGAAGTGTCCACACATGGAGACCTCAAGGTTCACTCTCCTGATATGACAAGTAGGAGGCATTATGCCTGCGTAAGGGACTCAAGGTCATTTTCCAGCCATATTCCCCTCCTGCCATGGATGGCCAGCCATCTTTTATCGTACTTAAAAGAAACTCTAAGGGGCTGCCCAATTGTTAACTCCTGTCTTGTGTATGTGGTAGGATATTTTCCACTGGAAAATAGTGTCAGCCCAAAAATGGCATTCCCACCTCAGACAGTTCCTTTCCATGGAGCAGTCATTGGGCTTTTCACAAACCCAGCTTTGGGAAGCCTGCATGGGGAGACTGCATCCCGGTGGCCAAAGGAGGCTGTGACTTGTGAAACCCAGGGGTTTTCAAGTTTTGAAACCTCAAAGCCATTTCCAGCTTTCAAAGTACCCTAGCTGAGCTCCTTTTCATAAATTCATTACAAGTGATTTTGGGTTTTTCTTTATTAAAGTAATACTATTCTCATTAATAAAAATTGGATAAGTAGATAAAATAGCAATAAAGTCATATGTTCGTCTAAGCAAATACAACCACTTGTTAACACTTAATTTTTTGATGTATGGTTTTTCTTAACACAGATATAATATGATATATAACTAGTTTTTTCAACTTAGCATTATTCCTGTGTCACCCATGGTCTTTATAACCATAATTTCCAGGGGCTACATAATATTCCTCCAGAGCATAGTACACTTGGGTTTGCTCAACCTCTAGCCCCTTTTGAACCTTTAGGTTACTCCCAGTTTTCCACTATTAAAAATAATGCTACAAAACAAAAAGAAAAATAATGCTACAGTAAAGACTTTTGTGCCTAAAGTGTTTTCTATACTAAAGAGTTTTCCCTGGAATCCAGTCACCTGGGTCCTTTTAAAAAGCAGTTAATACATTTGTTTAATTTTTCCTAATAATATATGATCACTCTTCAAAAAAGGGCTATTAAGGCCCAGCATCCCTGTGTTAGTTGTGCATATAGATGTGGTTCCACTTAGAAATGTGATCCTTTTTCCTTTTCTACAAAAGACAGGCAGGGGCCTTGCATGCAGATCTAAAGCCAAAGAAGACGCCTTGCTCACTGTGCATTCTGTGCCTTTTGTTGTCTGCAGTCTCTGTGGGTTATGAGTACGAATCCTGCCCGGATCTGATCCTGTGGGAGAAAAGAACAGCAGTGCTGCAGGGCTATGAAATCGACGCTTCCAGGCTCGGAGGATGGAGCCTGGACAAACATCACGCCCTCAACATCCAAAGTGGTGAGTGGGTGGATAAAATCCCCAGAGCCCAGTCTTGCTGTGATGTTCTTCGTGCCCTGCGAGACAAAAAACACACACTTCAGATTCCATGGGCTCCTATGGGATCCATCGGTCTGAAGGATTAGTCCATGAGTGTTCCTGGGGTCCCTGCTTTGTGCTTGTTACTGCTGGGCTCTGGGGAAGCAGAATGGAAAGGCCTCAAGAATTTACTCAGATCAGAGGCCAACACTTCCAGGCAATTTCCATGCTGTGCCATGGACAGTGCCATCACAGAGGGAGCAAAGCACTGGGGCATAGAAGAGGGACATGTCACTCAACTTTGTGGTTCAGCAAGGTACCTCTTTGGAGAGAACTTCTGAACCGAGTATCAGAGGGTCAGCAGGATTAGCCCTGTCTCAAGTAGGGAGAGGGCACAGGATGTGCCAAGCACTGAAGCATGAAAGGAGAGTCATTGGAGAGGAGGGTCACTGTGGTTTGAGCAAAGGGTGAAATGAAGGGAATAGCAAAAGCCAAAGCTGGGGGCTTGGCAGCTGAAGTTCATCCAGAGGCATATGAAGGGTGTAAAGCATGCAGGTGCCACAGTCAAATCTGAATTTCCAGTAGCTCACTCTGTGTTCTGGGATGAGACCACTAACTACGGTAATGACGTCTTAATCTGTACATACCATGAATGCCTATCAAAGCAACCACATGTTTTGGGGGAAAATTGACAAATTTGTTCTAAAACTTATGGTAGAATAAAAATGTGTAAATAGCTAAGGCAATCTTCAAAATAAAAACCAAAAAGAGGCACACAGCAGATATTAAGCTATCTTAGGAGAGTCATTGTATCTAAAACTGTGTGGAGCTGTCACAGGAACAGATGAATAGATACCAGGGGACAAAACAAGGAGCCCAGACCCTGACCTGTGAGTAGTCATTCGGACAGTGATGGCGAACCTTTTGAGCTCGGCATGTCAGCATTTTGAAAAACCCTAACTTAACTCTGGTGCCGTGTCACATATAGAAATTTTTTGATACTTGCAACCATAGTAAAACAAAGACTTATATTTTTGATATTTATTTTATATATTTAAATGCCATTTAACAAAGAAAAATCAACCAAAAAAGTGAATTTGCGTGTCACCTGTGACACGCATGTCATAGGTTCGCCATCACTGCATTAGGACAGGGTTTGGCCATGAGTGACAAAAAGCCAAAATAACAGAATTGCAAACAGGTTGCAAGTGTGTTTCTCATGCACCTGAAAGTCTGGAGCTAGAGATGCCAGAGCTGGTTTAGCACTTGGCAGGCTCCTTTCCTACTCAAGCCTCCATCCCCAAGGTCATGATCCAAGGTGATTGCTTCCGCTCCAAACTTCACATCAACTTTCCAGCCAGCAAGAAGGAGGAAAGGACTAAGAGCAAGCCCTTTCCACTCTAAGGACACATCCCAGCAGCTGTCCTGCCACCTCCACTTCCAAACATTGGCCGGAACGCAGTCACCTGCCAAGTGTAGCTGCACACCAGGCTGGAATTGTAGGCAGCCCCAGAGAGTCTGTGCCCTGCCAAGCACCAAGTTCTATAACTACAGAAATAAGGAAGGGGGATAGGATGGATACCATGGGTAACTGCAGGTTTCTTCCATATACCATGTGTTCATTGGAACTTGGTATATGATAGAGGGAGCATCACTTACCAGTGGAGGGTGAATAGGTGTTTTCGAAATTGGCATTTGGGAAATTGGCTCAATATATGGAGAAAAACAAACGTAAGTTCATACTTTGCATAAAGTAAACAAAATAAAGTTTGATTAAAGATCTAAATTAGAAAGATAACACATTAACTTTCATAGAATATCTTTATGATCTCAGAGAGATTTCCTAAAACCTAAAAAAGCACAAACATTCAAGTAGAAAAATAATTACTCAGACTACATAAAAATAAAAGGTATCCCTTCAACAAAGGACAAAGCTAACAGGAGACAGCCTGGGCGAAGATGCTTCTGACCGGAGCAAACAAAACTCGCTCAGGCTGCAGTGCAGAAGGGGTGAGGCTGGAGGCCGAGTCCAGCTTGGTGGCCGTGGCAATAATCCAGGAGCTAGTGGGTGATCTGGGCCTGAGGGGAAACAGTGGGGAGATGGGATGGTGCTTACAGGTCATCGAGGGCAATCCCTTCTCTTTGCTGGGGAAATGGAGGCCCAAAGGCAGTGAAGAGACCGACAAGAGCTGGGATCAGCCTGTTAGTTGCAAAATGAGGTAAAAATCCAGTTCTCTTAACTCTACCTTGGTGAGAAGAGACTGTGAGTTCGCTTCCCTCATGCATTTCTATAAACATTTATTGGTGCCTACTCTGTGTCAAGTTCTGTGCTGGGCACTGGGGATACAGAAAGGGAAAAGACAAGCACAGTCCCTGTACTTGAAATGGTATCAGCCTAGAGAGGAAAACAGGCAAGTGCGATAGAGAATTCGTGCTGTAAGAGAGACCAGAGAGAGGGATAGGAGATGAGTTCAGTCTCTGTGAGAGGCCGTGGAGATGAATAACTAAGAGCCTGGACTTAGGGCTGCTCCTACCATCACCTGTGTGGCCTCAGGTACGCCACTTTGCCTCCCTCTCCCCCCCCTCCCCACCCCCGTTAGCTTACAGAGTCGTTGTGAGAATCTCATCCGTAGAGCAGTATGGCCTGTCCAAGGTTTCATTCTGGGGTGAGGCAGCCTTGGGAGATGTCCGGAATGGCAGGCAGAGATCTTGCATTCCTTACAACACCACGAGAGCTCTGTGGTCAGCCTCAGAAGAGAGCCTCTCCCTGCTCCGTGGGTGATTCTGTTCTCTGTCTCCTCACAGGCATCCTGCACAAAGGGAACGGGGAGAACCAGTTTGTGTCTCAGCAGCCCCCCGTCATCGGGAGCATCATGGGCAATGGGCGCCGGAGAAGCATCTCCTGTCCCAGCTGCAACGGCCTTGCTGACGGCAACAAGCTCCTAGCCCCCGTGGCCCTGACGTGTGGCTCTGACGGCAGCCTCTACGTGGGAGATTTCAACTACATCCGAAGGATCTTCCCCTCCGGGAACGTCACCAACATCCTGGAGCTGAGGTACATAAGGCACTGCCTTCCTCACAGTTTCTATAACGTCCTTTTGCCGTCCTGTGGGCCCAGCTGGCCTTACCCACCAGGCCCAGAGAAGGAGCAGGGCAGCGTCTCACCTATCAGAATCCGGGACCTCTCACTGCCCAGCTCAGAGGCTAACCTGAGCCGAGGGCCCTGAGGAAGCAGCAGCTGATTCCCACAGGGCACTGCAATGTCGAACCTCTCTTGGGACAGGGAGATAGCCTTGGCGTCCAGCTGATGTAGAAGGCTGCTGGCAACCAAGAATTAAACTCCTTGGAAGCCCCTGGATCTTCTTTCTGCCTCCTAGCACCAAACTGATTGGAATCAATCACATGAGTCTTTTAACGAGGGCAAGGGATGGCATCTTGGCCAAGGCCCCCCCTGCCGGTGTTACCAAGTTTTGCCCCGTTACTTAACATTCAGAGTGAGGAGCAGGTTTTTCAGCTGCCCAATACTGAGAGAAAACCCTCGGACTAAAACCGGGCATTGTCTGTCTGCTTCTGTAGTGCCACAGAGCCAGCTGAGTCAGCCTCTTCTGTTTCCCCATCCTGACTGACCAGGCGTGACAGAGCATAGCCATTCTTAGGGAGCAGGGAAGGGCCTGGTGTGGCTTTTCCCCATGCCTCCCTCAGCCAGATCTCCTTACAACCACAGCACTGCCTTAGGGTGGGATCTTGGGTTACCAGAAGCTGAGGTTACAGATAGGGGGTGCCCCACTCTCCCTTTCAGGAGACACTGCACCAGGTTCTTCACTGCTGCTTTCTCCTGGGCTGGGGTCCAGGTGAACAGCACAGCCCTTGGGCAGGAAAGCCTTCCTCCAGAGCGGCCAGGGGAAAAGCAGTCTCACTTTTGTGAGGCCCCTACTACTGTTGACCATGGAATTTTAAAAACCGCCAAAGGTTCAGCTTCTGGAATGGTGGGTGCAAACCCAGAAGGTCATCGTGCAGCTCTGCCGCACCAAAGATTGGTCACCTGGACCCGTGAAGGCCCCTCTGGCTGAATGCCTTGTCCAGCTACTCTCTGCAGGTCTGTGCCTGCTGAGAATCTCATTCTGCAGTGCACGTGGCTGACCAACAGCCACAACAGCCCCAAGGGGAGCACGTTGGTATTTGCCCACACACGCAGGGACAGGGAAGGAGAGGGTCTTTGCATGAAAAGGATTAGAAGCTCATATTCTATGGACCCGTAGGAAATCAGATAATAGGCTGAATGAGAACCAAGCCACCAGGAGTATTCTCTGCCTTTCTTCTCTCTATTATGAGTGTGATTGGCAGAGGCATCTGCCAAGGAAGAGGGAACCCTGGGTGTAATTGCTTCGGTCAACTGCTCATATTGTCTTTCTATCTCCTGTCCTGTGATGGAAAGGGCCATGGACAGGGGGTCAATCCACCTTGGCAGACAAGCTGTACAACTTTGGGGAAGACACTACCCTCTCTGGGCCTCCTTTTTCTTTTTTTTTCTTCTTCTTTTCTTTTTGTTAATCCTCACCCAAGGATATTTTTTCCATTGGTTTTTAAAGAGAGTGGAAGGAAGGGAGGTGGAGAGAGAGAGAAACATCCATGTGAGAGAGACACATCGATCATTTGCCTCCTGCACACTCCACTACTGGGGCGGGGATCAAACCGCAATCCAGATATATGCCCTTGACTTGAAATCGAACCAGTGACCATTCAGTGCTCAGGCCGAGGCTCTAATCACTGAGCAACACCCACCAGCTCTGGGCCTCCATTTTCAACCTTTCAAATAAGAGATCCCATTTCCCCTGTCTCCCTCCCACTGTTTCAGGGAGATCATGGAAGACAGTGGGTAAGGAAGGGAGGAGTCAATGAAATTTGGAAAGAAAGATAAATGGATCAATATATTATCATCTTGATTTAGTTTTCTTTGAGTCTTTTTTCCCTGGTCTGTTTCTCTGTGTTACTGTCTCCCTTCTAATTATAGCATATTTCCCATTCTGTATTCTATTATGAAGATCATTGTAGCAGGTTCTGCAGGTTTTAATAACTCTTGGTAAGGCCCACGGGCAGAGACACAGCAATGAGCATGTATATCTCCTGGAATGTGTGTCTGTCTAGGGGGTCGGGGTGGACTGCTCCACCCTCTGCCTCAGCCCTGGTGGAAGCAGCAGCATGTGTCAACCTCATCCGCTTCCCCGAAGTCAGCCGTAGCGGCGCAGGTGGAACCGCGCCTCTTCCGTGATATGTAGCTGCTTGTAAGTGAGCTCACTGACAAGTAATATCCCATATGAAATATATCAGTGTCATGGCTGCTAAGTCTTTATTTATTATAGTATTGTACTGTACCATTGCTGTCAAGTTTTCAGGCTGCTAATAATGCTTCTAACCCTGCTGCTAACACCTCATTCTTTCTTCTATTCCCTGCTCTCCTGTCTTCTGTCAGAAATAAAGATTTCAGACATAGGTAAGCCAACCAGTGGAGAATTTTCCCGTCTCTCCTCTGCCTTGTTGCATGTTGTATGGTAAGATGCATGTGTCAATTTCAGTTGGCTCGATGGCAAATGAACCCTGTGTGGTTGGAACTGATTGCGGGTAATCGGTTACAATGAGAGGAAGTCGTTAATAATGGTAGGGACAGGTGGTGAGAGCCTGAGCTCCACTAATCCCTGCAAAGTGCAGCCGCCCCTTTGGTAGTCAGTGGACGAGACAGACTGCAGTGATGGGGAAAATGTTAACCTGGGCATAGGAATTTGAACACCACAGTCTGCCTCTTCTTAGAATAAAGGAGTGCATCATCCTCACTGTGTTGGGTGACTTGGATGGTTACAGTGGGAAGTCCTGAGAACATCTGGATCAGGCAAAGGCCCTGGAAGAAGACAGGGCTCAGATCTGTGCTTCTGTGGGCATTCCAGGTGCCTCGGCTTGATGGCTGGGGTGCCAGGTAGCCCCCTGGAAGGCTTGCCAGCAAGGACAGAGCAGGGGAGGAGTTCCAGACCTGACAGACACCCAGAGAGCAATCCCCAAATAGGAACTTTGTCACAGAGTAGACTTGTCATGTAGGCTCACAATGACACTGCAGCAGACAGAATTGGGCCTCATCAGACCAACAGAGAGAAATGTCTGCCTGCCATCGGCTCCGGTCACTGCAGCACTCGTCTGACTCCCAGGTGACAGTGACCTCGGAGGCCCCCTAGCCTCACACACATGTGGGTGACTTGAAAGTCGCCATGGGCAGACGGTGCTGTGGCTGGCATCTCTGCAGAGGGGCTCTCAGTCACCCACATGTGGCTCAGACTCACACGGGGCTCAGACCACAGTGGCACGTGGGGGGATGCTAAGGTGGGATGAAAGGAAGTCTTAGTAAGGTAGATAGAGGCAGACCAATCCCAAATCCACTAATGATGATATGCATATCTACATAGTGAGATATAGTATTAATGTAATACTCATAAATGTTAAATGTATATAGAGCAATAATGGCGAACCTTTTGAGCTCGGCATGTCAGCATTTTGAAAAACCCTAACTTAACTCTGGTGCCGTGTCACATATAGAAATTTTTTGATATTTGCAACCATAGTAAAACAAAGACTTATATTTTTGATATTTGTTTTATATATTTAAATGCCATTTAACAAAGAAAAATCAACCAAAAAAATGAGTTCGTGTGTCCCCTCTGACACGCGTGTCATAGGTTCGCCATCACTGATATAGAGCTTCTTAGTGTGTAGCAGAGAGGGGTTAAGTGATTTGCATGGATTAAAGCAGTTTGTCCGCAAACCATCCTTTGAATTAGGTACTTATGGTATATCTAATTTACAGATGACAAAACTTGAAAGTGACCTTGTGTGAACTTGAAAAAATTACTTCATCTCTTTGGGCTTTAGCTTCTAACTTCAGGTTAATAAAATCTCCCATGGAGATTGTTATAAGTGTTACAGAGGATGTTTGTAAAGTATCTAGCATTGTTCCAGGCACAGAAAGGAGTTCCAGAAATGGTAATAATAATAATAACATCATTATTGGATAGTAATAATAATAATTTATTTTTAACATCATCATAACAATTACATGATCATGATGATGTCTCCACCCAAAAAGGAATTCAATCCCTCAATCCTCTTAACAACCAAAGACACAGGCGGTAAAGTAAATTAAATAGAATTTGGGAACAAAATAAAAAGGAGGAAACACATATATGTGGTCATATATCAAATTAGACTCGGAGCCTCCTTCCAGCCAGAATAAACAGGGAAACATAATAATTTTCATGGTTTGCATTATCAGAAATGGGAAAATCTGTTCACTTCTCAGAGGAGGGATATTTTTTCCTGACACTGAAATCTAAACCAGATTTTCGGTGAGCTTTGTATGGATAATACTGAACTCTGTATGGATATGTGCCCTCAAGTTCAGATTTATAGTAAACACAGAAGTACATTTCATACGAAGATCTTCATTGAAAACCTAGCATTCACCATTAAAACCTTCACTCAATGGCGATGACTGCCTGGTACACAGCTGGGGTGTAGGGGGGCCTAGCTGGGAAGAGTCGGGGGGCCAGGGTGCTTGTCCAGCTTTTCCATGCACTCATCATGTGACCGTGGGCTAGGCGCCTGGCTTTTTCCGCTTTTAATCTCAGAATCTTTAGTTGAGAGAGTTGTGGTTTGAGTGTCTTTTATTTCTGATGTTTAGTTATCTTTTAACAGATGGATCCATGGTATGATTTCAAAGCCAGTTTCCTGGCCTCTTGCAATTCATTGTTTTTCTCAGGTGCTAAAAAGTATTTCTATAGTGAAGAGTGGGAGAGAATAAAGGATTTTTCTTCTGCCTTTTTGTTTTCTAAAGTCAAAACAGAGTGAGACGACCTGGGTTCTAGCTCTGATTCTCACTGGCACCTGGGTATTGACAAACCTCTTCCTCTCTCTGGGCGTTCATGTCCCCATCAGTAAATGTCAGAAGTGGATTAAAGAAATTCTGAAATCTTGCCCTGTTTATCCTTTACTGTCTCCACTGTTCCCAGAAATAGACTTTGGCTCAGGCTGGTGCTCTTAGCCTGCGTGGGTGCTCCCCAGAGCAGTCTCTTCTCTGCCTTTGGCCTTTTCAGCCTCAATATGCCACCAGCCTACCACACTGGGCATGCGCAGTCCAGGGACCCCAGCCCTTTGGGCATCTTCCTCCCTGGACCCCATCAGGGAACACAGATCCTTATCTCCTCCAGATCTCTTCCCTAGGGTCATGGAGAAATGTTTAAAGCCTGTTGTTCAGAAGTGCATTTGAACTCATTTCCATTGATCCCAGCTATACATATTCTGTTAATTCTAACAGAGTCCTTAACTGCCCCAGGAAATAGATCAGACAAGGCAATATTAACTCTGCCATTCTTGGCTTTTCCATTATGCAATAACATAAATATTCTGGGGGTTTCTCATGGAGACCAGCTGCCATTTATTAAGCTTGTTTATTTATTTATTTATATTTGTTAACCCTCACCCAAGGATATTTTTCCATTGATTTTTAGCGGGAGGAGGGAGGGGAGAGACAGAGAGAGAGAAAAACATCAATGAGAGAGAAACACATCAATTGGTTGCCTCCCACACGTGCCCCAACCAGGACTGGGGACCGAGTCTGCCACTGAAATACATGCCCCCAGCCAGTGCCAGGCCATCCAGCCTGAACAGACAGATGCCTTTGAATTAGAAGACTTTCCAGAGACTTAGAGGATGCTGTCAGTACTGGGATGCAGTTTGAGGGCTGAGGGTTACCAGGCCGTGTACAGGAACTGAAACAGCTCCCAGGAGTTATGAGTCCAACTCCAATGTGACCTAGACTTTGATGAAATTGTAAAGCAGTACCATGTGATAGCAAAAGTCAAGCTTAATAAGAAATATCTACGCTCTGGTCCAGCGATTGCCAACCAGTGGTCCGCGGACCACTGGCGGTCTGTGAGGCCCGAAATGTTGGCGGCCGCTGCTCTAGTCCTCTCCACATGCAAAAACAGACATGATGGCTAGTCGTCAAACAGTGCTGATGTAAAGCACCTCTGAGGTGCCATGATGCTGGAGATCTGTTTTATGTAATTTTCATAGTACACTGGCCAGGTAGCTGCTAACATCCCCCTTCTGTAGATGAAGAAAACTTAAGGCTCAGGAGGCCAGCTAATTTGCTCAAGTTTCAGAACCTGGAACTAACAGAGCTAGACCTCAAACCCAGATGGAACAGACTCCAAGCGGTGCCTTTTCCTTCCCCCTGTGCCCAGAGGCAGCGCCTTGTCTCTGCGATGCCTGGGTGCCGCCGAGGTCTGACCTCACTTTCCTGTTAGCATGGCCTGGTCTTCATGGCTGGTCTCCAGGAGTGGAACCATCATGAGCACTGCTCCTGTGTTTTGTTTATTTTCCATTGGATGTAGCTGCCAATTACAACTAATCCTGCAACTCATTTATATCTGACTGCAAGCGGGAGACTGCTGGGCTCCTGATAAGTATAACATGTGTGTCAAGTGAAGACCATGTGGACGCTGACTGGGAGTCAGATCTGGCAGGGTCTTATCAGTCAGTCCCAAGAAGGGTTATGGCTGCTGTGAAAATTCTGTGGAAGAAGAGTCCATAGGTCCAACTCTTTTTTATTATTATCCAATCTTTTTTGTTGAAAGTATTACATAGGTCCCCTTTTTTCCCCATTGACCCTTTCTAGCCCACCCTGCCCCCTGCCCCAGGCCTCCACCACCCTATTGTCTGTGTCCATACAAGTTCTTTGGTTGATCTCTTCCCTCCCACTGTCCAACCTTTAAGTGGTTTTAAAGTCAAGCTCTTTTGTGTTTTTGGCTTGGATTTACAGGCCACCTGTGGTAACCCTCATGGACATTCCTTTTAAGAAGACGTATTGAGCACCTGATATGGGGGTGGCACGGGGCTGGGGCTGGGCCTGGCAATCATTGGCATTAATAGTTGAGTGGGAGAGAGAGTTAGACCCACCATATCTGGAGTCAGACAAATTGGGGAACTCGCCCCCAAAATGGGTACATCATCCACATATGATATTGTTGCTTGGATTTAAGTTGTATGCCTCTGGCTACCTGGTAGGAAAGAAGAAGGGGCTCACCAACTGGCATGTCCTTGTCTTCCAGTCACAGTCCAGCGCACAAATACTACCTGACGACAGACCCCATGAGCGGGGCTGTCTTCCTCTCCGACACCAACAGCCGGCGGGTCTTCAAGATCAAGTCCACCATGGTGGTAAAGGACCTGGTCAAGAACTCCGAGGTTGTCGCGGGGACAGGTGACCAGTGCCTCCCCTTTGATGACACCCGCTGCGGGGATGGTGGGAAGGCCACGGAAGCCACACTTACCAATCCGAGGGGTAAGGCTGTGTTTTTCAATCACTTTCAGTTAACATGTATTGGGATGTTTTCCTTTTCCCAAAGAAATAGATGTTTATTATTGGAAAAATTTTGGAAAATAACATGAACTCTATGGAGAAAAGTTGACATCATAATTCTACCTTCCAGAAAAATTCTCAGTTAACATTTCCTATCTTTCCTTTTAGCCTTTTTTCTAAGTGTGTGGGTACATGTAATACTCACCAAAAATAAAGTGAGATCACATTAAACAAACATTTAGTGACCTACCTTTCTTCCTAACTGATAAAAAATGAACATTCTCCATGCCATTAGTCTTTGTACTGATTTCTAATGTCTGTATGGTGTTCCAGCAAGTGAATGGCCCATCATTTAGTTGGACATGTATGCTGTCTCTCACACTATTATGTTATAAAATCATTGCCGTGTATCATCTCTGTTCATTTGCTATAAGATGAGTTAACTAAGTTTCCATTTGAGTCCCACAAAAAGTTGGGCCTCTTCATACCCACAATCACAATTTTTCATCCACTTATTCATCAAGTATTTACTGAGGATGCATACTGAGGATGCAGTGCCTTGTGGTTGCATAGATAAGTTTATTATAGCAGGAAAAGGAGACTTGAATGTGAATACTCTGACTTGGGAGAGGGCAGAAGTGCTTCCTGAGACACAAGGAGAAAGAACTCTGTGTGGGAGTCCAAAGCCAAGAGAGGCCCCTGTGCCTAGGAGACTAGGAAGGAAGGCTGTTTGGAGGAGAAGCCAACATTAACAACAAATACCCATCATTCACCTTAAAGCCAGTGACCTATACTGTCTAAGCCTCAGGGTCCTCGTCGATAAAACAATGGTAATAATACCTCTTGTGTCCACCCCCTAGGATCATTCCAAGGGTCAAAATTAATATATTGCATGTGATAACCTGTAAAAATGCCATGAGTGATTGTATTAGTAAATAGTGCCAGATTTCAGAGCCTGGTTCAAATCAAAGCCATTAGATGCTAGTGAAAACAGACAGACCTGTATTCAAATTCGGTCATTGCCACCTACTAGCCTAGTGACTTTGGGTGCGTTGCTTAACCTCTCTGAGCTTTATTTCGCTCATCTATGAAATAGAGAGAGATACTGTAGAGTTGTCGTACACATTAAATATTATCAGGGATGTTAATGCTTAGTACAATGGTATCAGTCACATAATAAACATCCCATAAATGGGGATTCCTATTGTAATTATCATAGTATATTGTATTGTGTTATATGACATCCCCTCATATAAATTTGTGCACTCGGGGGGGGGGGGGTCCCTCAGCCCGGCCTATGCCCTCTTGCAATCTGGGACCCCTCGGAGTATGTCCATCTGCTGGCTTAGGCCCGCTCCCTGAGGGGTTGGGCCCAAGCTGGCAGTCAGACATCCCTCTAGCAGCCCGGCAGCCCTCAGGGGATGTCCACTTGCCAGCAGGGAGCCGGCCTAAGCTGCAATCAGACATCCTTAGTGCTGCTGAGGAGGCGGGAGAGGCTCCCGCCTCTACCACTGTGCTGGCAGCCATCAGCCTGGCTTGTGGCTGAGCAGAGCTCCCCCTGTGGGAGCGCACTGACCACCAGGGGACAGCTCCTGCATTGAGCATCTGCCCCTGGTGGTCAGTGTGTGTCATAGTGACCAGTCATTCCCAGTCGTTCTGCTGTTAGGGCCAATTTGCATATTACCCTTTTATTATATAGGAGGATTCTATATCTCTACCACATACCTGCAGTGGTCAGGTGGGAACTCTGTGAGATAGATATTATGACATCTGTGGTTAATCTTCCTTCTAAATATGATTTCCTAATACTAAAAGAGTAGCATAGGATGGAAAGAGCTTACACTTAGGGGCCCTGCATTGTGGTTTTGCTCTGCCACTCCTCTGGGCCTCAGTGTCCCCATTGGTAAATGAGCAGATTGGGCTAAATGATCCCTGAGACCCCCTTTCAGTTGCAACATTTTACTCTATGAATGAAAACCAGGGATTTTTTTTCTGATATTTTTTACTCTCTCCGGGTCTTTCTCAGTTGCTCTACAGCAGTGATTTTCAACCTTTTCATTTCATGGCACACATAAACTAATGACTAAAATTCTGCGGCACACCAAAAAATGTATTATATTTTTTTGCCTATCTGACAAAAAAAGATATAATTTTAATTCATTTATACCAGACAGATAGCTGTTGTTATGGTGGCTGTTGTCATTTTTTCATTTGACAATCTAAGGGAAAAGAGGTCAGTGCCCCTGACTAAATAGTAAGGTATTGCATGTTTTAAAAAATCTTGCACTCACCTGTTGAAAATCCCTGCTCTACATAGGTGTGTTCTCCACCCTACACACACACATACACACACACACACACACACACACACACACTACACACAGATATAGTGACAGTGAAATTGCCCAAAAGCCTGTGATTAACCCAAATAGAAATGACAAGGGTGCCACAATATGCAGACACTCTGTAACAGGGAGAAGAAAAGCTGTTCATCTATTTAGCACAACAAAAGAAGACAAAATGAAGTAATTAATTAGAGGACAGATTACTTCTATTAGCCTGTGCAGCCAATTTTGTAAACAAGAAACCCAATTGTTCATGGAGCACTCATCAGTCCTAGCAGATGGAAGGAGAGACAGCATAGCCAGGCAGATAAGAAAACTCCTGTCTCGGTACTTGAAGAATGTAATTCGTTCACATTCTAGGCAGGGACCAAAGACAGGCGTCCCGCCTTGAGGCTGCCTGGTCCTCGGTATGAAATCACTCTCCAGCCCTGAATAGCCCAGGAGGGGGAAGAAGGAACTACTGCTCCTATGGCCTTGGCTCTCTCAGAAGCCCTTGGTATCTAAAACCACCCTCTGACCTGTCACAGACACGTGGACCCTGAGAGCAAGGGCCTTAAAACTCACAAAGTGCTGGTCAGGTTCTCCTAATGATAAGTCACTAATAATTATGGAGGGCTAACGATTACAAGCCAGGTGTATTATCCCCATTTTATGGATGAGGAAACTGAGAATTGGAAGGGGAGTGACTCACCCAAGGCTATACCACTGGAAAGCTTGATATTTCAAGTGTCTCCACCTCTGTGAAGCTTCTTCAGACCCCTTCTTTTAGTTCCTTCCCCAGAGAAAACTGAGGAGAACAAAACACAGAATCTCTTTTATTTCATCATGAACCCTCTCAGGCTTGTCATTCCCTAGGGGCATGAGGGCATGTCTTGCCAGTGGCTCAGCCCCAGCACCCTGAGCCATCCTCCGTTTAGGAGGGGTGTGTCTAATGTCAGTGATTCTGGACCTGAGGTGGAAGTCAATATTAACCGTGAGCATTTTTTAAACAAGCCTTCGTCCTTGTTCCAGCCACCCCCTGAATTAGTATTTCCCAGAGTGAGGCCAAGCAGGTATATGTCGAAAAAACTCTTCAGGTAATTCTGTGGCACATCTCTGGTTAAGAAGTACTGACTGACTAGAGAGGTTTTCAAACTTTGATTTCTATCATTATTACCCAAGGTGCTTGTCAAAAACAAAGATACCTGCTCAGGCTCCACTGACATTTTCTCAACAGCTGCCTGGGGGTGCATCTTAGTAAACTCCCAGGGGGTTTGCACACACATCCAAGAGTGGGAAATACAGATTTATAACAATTTCTTCATTGAACAGCTGAGACACAAATCTAGAGCTTTCCAGTGATTAGCCCAAGGTCACACGGCTGGTCAGGGAGGAAGTCAGCAGGGTGGGACAGTCTGGGACAGTCTAGCAAATGGAGCAGATGATTTTTAGTCATAATTTTGACTCCTCTCTTCAACGTGCCTTTTTTAGAAATTAACTTCACCAATATTCTCTATACAAATCCAAAGGATTCTTTTGAGGGGCTCTCTACTTCTGTGATGACCAATGAAACTAGAGTAGTAATAGAAAAACATGAAAGATGATTATCTTGGAAGGAAAGAAAAATTATTACCAAAAAGAAGATGTGATTAGTATGATTTAATTACAGGTCTTCAGAAGTAGGTTAATTTAAATAATTCACATTTTTGATATTGAAAAAAGATCCTCCTTACCGCTACATCTGGTGTTTAACAAGCCCCCAGAAGGGATGAGTCCAGTGTTTGTGGATGGGTCAGGTGGTCGGTAAAAATCCCCAGAGGCAGCAAGATGGAGGGGAATCTCAAGACTCGGGTTCTTGTCCCTACTCTGAACAAGCCACTCCCCACCTCTGGCGTGTCTCCTCATCTTTAGAAGAGGAGTGAATGATGTGCGGAAGAGCCAATCAAATCATGGAGAGGAGGTTCTCTGCCATCCCACAAGCTCCATGAGTAGATGGGTTGTGACCACTCTAACCCTGAGTGTTCTCTGCCCCAGGCATCACGGTGGACAAGTCAGGGCTGATTTACTTCGTGGATGGCACCATGATCAGACGCATTGACCAGAATGGGGTCATCTCCACCCTCCTGGGCTCCAATGACCTGACCTCGGCCCGGCCCCTCAGCTGTGATTCTGTCATGGATATTTCTCAGGTAAGGAGAATGCTGTCTCTGCCAGGGCCCTGGGTCCGCACGCTCAGCCTCTCGCCTGGCACCCAGGCAGCCCACTGGCCATTGATCTTGCACCACACAAGCCTTTTAAGAGCACACTCTTGGAGCTGGGTCTGTGCATAACACTCGGGACACAGAGATGAATAGGGCGCAGCTTCTCGCCCTGGGAGTTCACCATCAGGGGTAACAAGTGGTGGCAGAGGGCAGCTGTCCCAGGAAGCCTCAAAGGCAGCAGAGATGCACACTGTGAATTTAAATCCATGGCCACCTGACTTCCCGCTTTGGAAACACAGCTACTTACACATTGTCTGTTCTCCTTCTAAATAGGAGGACAGGAATTCCATCCACCCTTTCCTCCACTATAACCAGGGTGCCTGATACACAGTAGGAACACAACCAGTATTTGGTGATTTATTAATTGATTGATTGACTGAATCCTGGCTTTGCCACTCACCATCTGAGTATCTTTGAACAAGTTTCTGAGGTCTTTGGAGCCTCATTTTTCACATCTGTCAAATGGACATCAGCCAGGCAGGATTGCTTTAAGAACACAGAAAGCAATGCCTGTGAGGCTCCTAGCACTGCTTGGCACTTCAGAGATGATCAAGCAGCAGAAGTCTTAGGGCCCACTTTCTCAAAGGAGGGGACATTTGTGCCAGGTGTTGAAGGTTGGATAGGGGTTTGCTGGGTGTCGAGGAAGAATGGAGACATTTCACACAAAGGGTGCAGCATGTGTGAAGATACAGAGATGTTAATGGGCCCAGACATTCAATGAGTATCAGGAAATTGAATGCCTGAGCATAGGGTTCTTGTAAGGAAATAGTAGCAGGAGTTGAAACTGGAAGCATGATTTAGGGTCAGTTGGTGAAGGTCCACAGAAAAGGGTTTGGACCTTTGCAGGTAGCACAAGGAACCTAGTGTAGACCAGAGGAAGACACAGGTGACAGCTATTCAGCATGTCTGTAATTTGTCCTGCAATGACTTGGTCAGGGATGTGTCCTTTATTGCTAGATCCCTTGTCAAGGCCTGACCTTGACAGGCTTAATCGGTGAGCATCCATTTTGCCAGCATGAGCAAAACCAAGGAAACAGAAAGCTGGAGTTACCTTTAATTGCAAATTGGTGTCAGCAATAGCCACACTTGGCTTGTTAAATCCCCTCACTGCTAGGGAAGCCTGCACACAGGCCCTATTCCACTGCCCGTGGACCCACTCCCTGGTGCCCAGCAGGCGGCAGAGGCTGGGAGGCCTCATGGCTCATGCCTACTTCGGTTACAGATGTGTGTCACAGAACCCCTTTCCCAGAGCCCCAGAGCTGCTGCACAGGTCCCCACACCCTCGTCATATCCCTGTTGGATGCAGATATGATTTCCCTCTGCGTCAGCTTCTGAGATGGTCACACTCCAGAATGGAGTCTGTTCTCTGCTGCTCGTCTTCCCAGTTTGGTGAGCTTCCCTTGCTGGCTGCAGTTTCCCTCTCCAGTCTGTGAGCCAGCCTGGAGATTGCCCAGGCAGGAAGCTGCCACGGCCTGAGGATGTGTGTGCAAGTATTTTCAACTCTTAGGACGGACCCTCCACCAGCCAGCACCGGATGCCAAAAATTTTCAATCCACACATGGGGAAATTATTTCACTTTAGATAGAGGTACTGCCAAGCAGCCAGAGCAAAGGCTTGGAGGACAACTGCCATATAGCAGAGGGGGGAAACCCACATTGCGATTCAGAAATCCTGAACAAGAAATCTTTATGTCCCTGGTCCTCCCTACTCTGACCATGGAATCTAAGCGTGGAATTCTGTTGGCCAAATGCTCCAGACACAGGCATGTATTTTTATATGCACATATGGGCAGGGGGCACTGGCTTCCGTTCTCAGAGCCTCCTCTGTTATAAACACCCAGCTACCTCACCGTCCATGGGGACTAGGGAGGGAAGCCAGAGAGCTAAGAACACAGCTCAGGGGCAAGAGAGCAAAGAGAAGAACCAGGGAACTCAGACCAGCTGCTCTGGGAGGAGACAAAAACCAGACCCCAGGAGAACCTAGAGGTAGGCAGAGAGTGCAGAAGGAACAAAAGGTGTCACCTGTTCACAACAGGAGATTGGTTCTCAGCTCAGCTGGCTGCAGCCACCACAGACACAGAGGATAACTCTGGATTTAAGGTCCAAAATGATTGCCCGAGGACCTATTCTGTTCCGCACACATTTAGAAACGGGGACACAGAGATGGGTACTGTTCCACTTTTCCTGTTTAGCTGTCAAAATAATCCCAAGAGCTAGCTATTATCAATCCCATTTTACAGATCAGGACACCGAGGCGTGGTGACAGAAAATGCAGTTATAAATGCAGAGCCCCAGGCTAGGCTCCACCAGGGATGTGAAAATGAATTGTGTTTAATCCAATCATGTACATCAATTACCTAGCACAGTGCCGGCCAGCTAGCAATAGGTTGTAACTATTCATTCCCTTTATAATTTGCTAAGGGCTGCCTTGTACATTGTCTTGTTTGATTCTCACACTCACTTTATGTAATATTTATTACCTGCATTTACATAGGGGGAAAGCAGTTCAAAGTATTTAAGTAACTCGAGTAAGATCACAGCTGTAGGAATTGTGGAGCCGAGAGAGGACTCGAGGTGTCCTGGCCCCAAATCCCTCACTCTCTCTATGCCCTTCACAGTCGTTTATTTGTTCATTCATTTGACAATCCAGTTTTTGAAGCAAATCACTCTGCAATAAGGCAGTCACCTCAAAGTGCCTTATAAGTGCACAGCAGCTGGGGAGGACAGGAGAGGGGCTCCATGCCCCCTCAGGACCACAGAACATGGGAGCTGGAGGAGCCACGGTATGAAGGCTCCTCCCTCCGTGTGGGTGATGGGAAATGAAGCCTCAGCGTGGTCGTCACTAACAGGGAGGTGAGATCAGAGAAGCGTGGGCACTTGGTCTGGTCCAGGACATCACCTGGGCACTGGGACAGCCAGGACTGGCTCCAAGAGCACAGCTTCCCTCCCAGGTCCCTCTGCACACGGGGCTGTAAAGGAGAGAGCAGCGAAGCATTCACCCTTCCTTCATCCCCCTCTCTCCACCCCCTCTCCCTGGCCTGGCCTCATCTCCTTTCCCCTCCCCACCCACTCATCAGGGAGTCATCTTTTCATCATAATGACAGGCAGAAAGGTCTGGGCAAGCAGGTCCCCAAGGTGCCACAGGACCAGAGGGCATAAAATATTTAGCAGCGAGTGTTGACAGAAATGGGTTTTAGGAAATTGAAAATTCCCCTGTCACTTTAGAGTAAACTGTGTTCTTGATGCAGCTGAAGGCTGTGGGCCTCTGTGCTCCAGAGAGCACTGGGCGCGTGAAGGCAGCCGCCTGGCCATCAGCGCTGCCCTGCCTCAGGCTCCCTGTCCTGTGAGGACAGAGGGACCCCGGCTGGGAGCAAGGGAGCAGGAAAACCTTAGGAAGCAGGGCCTGGGGATTGCGCAGAAGATATGAGAAAGGGCCTGCCCCATCCTGAGAAGGGCCCTCAGCTAATGGGGCAGATGAAGGTGTCCACGTCTCCTGTGTAAGGAATTTACAGGGGTTTCTCTTTACATCTGTAAACTGTCACATAGACATTGTAGGAAATTTACAAAGTTAGTAATGGCAAAGAAGAAAGTTAAAATTGCCTCTAATCCCAATATGGTTACCATCTTGGGGTATATCCCTCAAGCTTTTCATCTCCTCCCTATCCATAATCCATCTAATTTACTGTATTTCCCCCCAGTTGGGATCACACTATACTTACAGCTCTGTAACCTGTTCTTTACACATAATACATGGCGAACGGTTTCTGATGTCATTAAATATCCAGCTTTTACATCAGTTATAACGACTACACAGACTATTTTAATTTATGGGTGAACTAAATATACCATAACTTATTTAGCCCATTCTCTGTTTTTGGGCATTTGAAGTAGTTCCAGTTTTTCACCATTATTGAAAATGGCTGTGATAATCACCCTTATAGACAGTGGTGTACATGATTATATTTCTGGAAGAGAAGTTTCTTATCTAAAGGGATATGCTTGTTTAAATTAGCCCAGATTAGACCGAATGCCAATGTTTTGTAGGACCCTCACTTGGGAAACTAAGGTGATAAGTCCATAGAGATCGGATAAGCAAGTCAGCTGAAGGCAGCACATGTCAGCACTTCCAGCCCCTGTGCTGTGTGGCTGGACCCCTTGGGGACACAGCTTCATGCCAGCTCCTCCCCATGTGATATATCCAACCATGCAGCCTCCATCCACTCAGCAAAGCATTCCTCACCTCACCCACACCTGCCAGTGGCCTTTCCCGCGTGCCCACCTGCAGACTCACCATGGTCCCTGCCAGCTTCCCAGCCTGGCTCAGAAGAGGCTCCGACATGGGGCCCAGGACCTCTGAAGCCCTCCTTCCCATTGCCAGGAGCACCTATTCTCCATGGCAATAAACACCATTATCTAGAGCAGGGCTTCACAAACTTCAGTGTGCATGGGAGTCTCCAGGGATGTTGTTTAAATACGGTTTCTGACCCAGTAGGTTTGGGTGAGACCTGACATTCTGCATTTCTGACTAGTTCCAAGGTGAGGCCAGTGATGCTGGGCCGGTGATCACACAGGGAGGAGACAGGATCCGGTTGTCATTTCCAGCCCCATGTTAGAATCACCCAGGAAGCTTTGGAAATCATGCCAGGGCCTGAGCCCTACAACCAGGGATCTGACTTCGTTGACCAGGGGTGGGATTTGAGCACCAATACTTTCTAAAATCACTGCAGGTAATTTGAATGGGTGGCCAAATTTGGAAATCACTGGTCTGGAACTATGTCAGAGAGGGTCCATGGTTATTCTGTCTTTATATCCCCAGCACCTAGCCACGTGTTAATCCAAGAATTGAGAAGTCATCTTTCATACAAAAATCATATCAACAGTTCATGAAGAGTTTCTCTTAAGCCTCTGGGCAACACCTACTTCAGACTCTATCATTCTTCCCCTCCCACTTCCATAGCATTAGCTACCATCCTCTGAGCACTTACTGTGGGTCAGGCTCTCTGCCCTGTGGTCATTCCCATTTTACAGATGTGAATATTGAGACTCAGGGAGGCAAAGGACCTGCCCAAGGTCATAAGTGGTGGGGCTTGGATATGAACCCAGGCCTATCTGACTCCAAAGTCTGTCTCTTGCCTATTTTTTTGTTTCTTTGCTTTTTTTTTATTTGTTCTTCATGTTTTGTCAGTCTAATAGAGGCCATCAGATGTCTTGCATGATTTCACTCTGATAGGGGCCTGACATCCATTGTGGATGACAGACTGCTGTGAGGACCAGGCATGTGAAGGCACTTGGGACACTGTTATGGACCATATGGAGAGTATGGGGTGATTAGTGGTGGGCACTTTGCCAAGCATTTGAGTGTTGGTGTCTCCATTGTCAGGTTCGCTTGGAGTGGCCCACAGACTTAGCCATCAACCCAATGGACAACTCCCTCTATGTCCTCGACAACAACGTGGTTCTGCAAATCTCTGAAAACCACCAGGTGCGCATTGTTGCCGGGAGGCCCATGCACTGCCAGGTCCCCGGCATCGACCACTTTCTGCTGAGCAAGGTGGCCATCCATGCAACCCTGGAGTCAGCCACCGCCTTGGCTGTCTCTCACAATGGCGTCCTGTATATCGCTGAGACGGATGAGAAAAAGATCAACCGAATCAGGCAGGTCACCACGAGCGGAGAGATCTCGCTAGTGGCTGGGGCCCCGAGTGGCTGTGACTGTAAAAATGATGCCAACTGTGATTGTTTCTCTGGAGATGATGGTTATGCCAAGGATGCAAAGCTGAATACCCCATCTTCCTTAGCTGTATGTGCTGACGGGGAACTCTACGTGGCCGACCTTGGGAATATCCGAATTCGGTTTATCAGGAAGAACAAGCCTTTCCTCAACACCCAGAACATGTATGAGCTGTCTTCACCGATTGACCAGGAGCTCTACCTGTTTGATACCAGTGGCAAGCATCTGTACACCCAAAGCCTGCCCACAGGAGATTACCTCTACAACTTCACCTACACTGGAGATGACGACATCACATTCATCACAGACAACAATGGCAACAGGGTGGACATCAGCCGAGACTCCACCGGGATGCCCCTTTGGCTGGTGGGCCCAGATGGCCAGGTGTACTGGATGACTATGGGCACCAACAGTGCACTCAGGAGTGTGACCACACAAGGACACGAGTTGGCCATGATGACATACCATGGCAACTCTGGCCTTCTGGCAACTAAAAGCAATGAAAATGGATGGACAACATTTTATGAGTAAGTACCAGGCAAGGCCATTTAATAGCTTTGTTTCATGAGTCGTACTATAGGATTAGAGGTGAATTGATGGAGTGTTAATTTTTGTTATGTCATTTTAGTTCAGGATTTGGGATGCAAACCCTTACCTATAGTATATTCTGCATGTTCATATTCGAGATGCTTGCGCCTGGGAAGGAACATATTGTAGTGGAAAAGGCATGAGCTTTGGAGTCAGAGGAACTGAGCTGGAATCCCAGCTCTACCATGGACGTAATCTCAGGAGGCCTCAGTTTCCACATCTGTGAAATGGAAACAATGACTACCTTCTCAACATACCACAGGGAGGTGACGTAGATAAAAAGTACTTGAAAGAATGCTAGCATCTTCGTATGACCACTGTCCAGAAATATGGCAATGGGGAAAGGAACATTTCCATGTAGATGAATTGTCCAATTACCAAAGCTCACATCTTAAGTTAAAAAAATTTTTTTTTCACTTTAACCATTTTGGATGGGACTTATGAAGTGCTTTACATGCCTCCCTTCTCAAACACATTATACAAACAATGAAATCTTTATTTTTATGAGTCAAGGTCATTCATAAGGAACACCCACAATTGCATAGTATGCTGTAATATGAAGATAGTTTCAAGGAAGTGAGGCGGTGAGGCTATAGGACCCTTCCCTCCTGCCCCAAATGATTCTACACTTTTATCGGGTCCTGCGTCTAATAGGTATAGTTGTACTGCTTCTTCCCTCGGGGTGGCGCTATTGAGTCACTAGTTGTTTCTGCAATAGAGTCCCCTCAAGTAGCTCACTTCCCTTCTCTTCACCCAGGATAGGGCTTCCTCCGTGGTGTGGTCAGAGAACCAGAGAACAGTTCATTCCAATCCTATTAAAAACCAAATATATCTGAGATGTTTCTCTATACGCTATTTTAATCAGTGGACTTCATAATATCTCCCTTTCTACCTAGATTTTAAGGTACTTTTAAGGTCTTAGCTACATTCCAGACAACTGAGTCTGCTGAGCACATGACCGTTAGATAAGTATGCAGGAGTTGGGGAGGGAACTAGCCTTGTTGCTCACCAGACACGGGTTAGAAACCACATGGTTGCATTTAATTCTCGCACCAGCTATGGGAAATGGGTGATATTAACCAGTTTACAGAAATTGAAACTGAGGTTCAGAGAGGCTCATTCATCCACTGTTATATGTGAGAACATAGCAGAACACATATGTCTGATGCCGGAGCACATGCTCATTGAGCTCTGCCTTGCTTCCCGCTGCTGTTTATTAATCCCAAATGAACTTGAATCTTTGAGCCGTAAATTTTTCTTAAGCTTGATCAAGCATCCGTTTCTCCCAGTCCTAGAATTTGAAGGAAAAGGATCTGTAATAGGTTTTTAAATACAATGTGCACCAAAAAATGTCACAGCAATTTGTTCAAAGTTCACTGGCTAAATTCCTTGTTAATTATAAAGAAAAGACAAAGATCCAGGAAAACAGCAATTATCTTGATTAACTCACTGAAATGGAAATACGCTAAATAATTCCATTTTCCCCCATTGCCCAACGGAAACCTCTTATATATTATTTAGCCAATACAGGGGTTTCTTTGTCAGAGCGAGTTGGTACACTCAATTAGTTCCCAAGGTCACTCTCTAATCCCAAACTGAATTCTTACACATCACTGCACCCGTTACTCTCTACCAACCCTGAAATCTAAAACCATTTCCTACAACTCTCCCAGAAAGGACCCCATTTCTCCCTTTCTGGCTTCCCTGATAAAATATACAGCCAGAGTTGATGTTTTATTAAGAAGGAGAAGTTAGTACAGTCGCTTTGTATAAAATCACATTCAGAATTCCAAAGTATCCACTAAAAAGCATTACCCAGGAGTGGAAGATAAAAGCCCTAAAATAAAAATAGAAACTCATTTTTTTGAGATCCTACTATGTGTCAGGCTCTTTCCCATTTAATTTTCATAGCAACCTCAGGTGGTAGAAATTATCACCCACATTTTTTACAGGGGAACAGACTGAGGGACAGTGAGATTAGGTAACTCGTCTGTCAAAAATCACCATGAGTACATGGCAGAGCCAGAACACAAATCTGTATTCTTTTAACTACACTGACTGGGTTCACCTTAAGTTCTTTGTGACTCAGATAGAAATAGAATCTATTTATAGGGATAGTCTGAGGTTCAAAATTTCAAAGAGATAAAATATGGAAAATTCAATGTCTTACTCATCATAAGTACTCAAATGATATCTGCTGTGGTTGTTGTCATTATTAATTTTATTATTATTATTATTATTATTATTATTATTATTATTTACAAGCTGTATTAGTGACAGCACCAGTAATTGCAGAAATGTTGTTTGGGCATGGAAGATGGACCTGGGAGCAGCTTCAAGTAGGTGAATCAAAGGAGCAGACAAAGGTTGTAATTGCAGTTGGTAGGGAATTAGAGGTCAGACCAGAAGAGCAGGATCAAGTGGCACATCTCAGAGATCAGAACTAGGAAAGGGTCAGGTCTCTGAGAATATCCAAAATGGGCTGGGAAAAGGCATGCAGAGTGGATCAAGGAAAACTGGTCCAGCTCAGATTGTGAGCACAGGTGAGGGTACCAGATAGCTGTTCTCACTGGGTGATCGCTCTGTGATTCGGACAGGCTGACTGGCTTCCAGACACAAGTCTCAACCAGAAATAATGCCTGCTCTACCCTATTTCAGGGCCATTGTGAGAATCAGAAAAACTAAATAGTGCTTGCTTCAGCTGCACATATACTAAAAACTGGAACGATACAGAGAAGATTACATGGCCCCTGCGCAAGGATGATACGCAAATTCGTGAAGCGTTCCATATTTTAAAAAAAGAAAAAGAAAAACTAAATAAACCCTGAAAGTAAAAGTACTTCACAAACTATGAAGCTCCCAAGAGGTAAAGGTGTGATATTATTATCATTACTGGTGTTTCTTAACATAAATTCGGAAAATTTTTCTTTTTTTTAATATATTTTTTATTTCAGAGAGGAAGGGAGAGGGGGAGAGAGAGAGAGATGGAAACATCAATGATGAGAATCATTGATTAGCTGCCTCCTGCACACCCCCCACAACCCAGGTACACACCCTGACCAGAAATCAAACTGTGACCTCCTGGTTCACAGGTTGATGCTCAGCCAGCTGGGCAGATTTGGACAGATTTTCCAAGGCACCATTGCTCTAGTGAATTTTCTACTTTTGGCTCCATGAGGCAGCTTAGTGAATTCCAATCCAAATGCTTTAATATTAAAAAAAAAAAATCAGCCCAGGCTTGCCTGTGACATGGGCTATTACTGAAACCAGTTTTAAGTTGGCTTAATCGATCCTCTCAACAGATTAAATAATACATGTAACATAAATATCACACACTTCAGAGAAACTTGACTTAAAGAGTTCACAATTCTGAGGAATCAAGGTTAGTTTCCTTCCCTCAGCCCACAGATCCGCTGGTAGAAAACTTCAAAGGAATCAGTAATGCAACCTTCATCTCCAATATGTGGCATCATTCATTTCAGACTTGGCTCCTGGGTCAATGGCATTTGATGGCTAAGAAAATGGCCTGATGAGCATGAGGTTCCAAGACTGGCTTGCTGAGTGGGCAGGAGCGATCCGTTTCCCCAAGTTTCATTGGGGGAAGTGGCTCTGGTGTCCCCTGACAGCCCCTGTCATAGTTACGCTAACATTAACTCCTGTGAGACCCTAATTTATCTCTGTATCAAGCTTAGGGCTTGCCACCTAATAGGTGTACAGCAAGTATTTTATGAATGATATATAAATCCAGAAGGGAAAGGAGATCAAGAAGGGAAGAGAAAATATGCTGTAGTTAGGATACTAGATTCGAATCCCAGCTTCAGCACTGTCATTGCTCCCAGCAGGATCTAGAATTCAACTCAAAAGGTTCAAATGAAGAGCCTGGGGCTTCTGGGTTTTGCTGAGGATGTAAGAGCTAGAAAGAGCATTGTTCCTAGTCTTACCAAAAAAAAAAAAAAAAAAAAAGTAAGCCAGACAAATGGCCAATTCATGAGTTTTCCTTAAACTCCTTCTCTGAGGCCAGAGGGCAATAAACTGAGGCAATCCAAGGGGCGACAGACTCCTGAAGAGAAAGACAAGATGGGAGCCCTCGCTTCCCTGGTAAGTGCAACCAGTTACCAGGAAGAAGAGTCCCGCTAGGCTAGCTGGTAAGTTTACAAATGCTAAGGGTATGAAACCCTTGGGGGCTGCAGAGACTGGAGGAGTTCACATTCTCTTCAGACCTTTCTCCTCAAACCCCTGCAGGTACTCTCAAGAAGTGGAGAAAGATTTAAGAAAGTGTGCCTTGTATGCAAGTATACTTCGGGGAGGGGTACAGCAGTTGCTGAGGGAGGGACTCAAATATCTGCCTGCTCTATCCAGACTCTACGCACCTTCCTCCCACATGGAACAGAAGCCTTAATCTGTGGCAAGAAGGGCAGAGCTAACTCTATCCTACTTAGGCACTGGTGGAAACCCATTACAGCTGAATGAGGGAAGAAAACATTTTTTAAACTTCTTCTGGGAGGGTAGTAATCTGCAATGGGCTCAGAATTACAGCCTGAAAAGGGGCAGGGGCACTGAAGAGGTCGCACTGCTGAGACTCAGGGACACATGGGTATATAAGACTGAGGTTTAATCAGAGCAATAGAGAGATAAACAACAATGGTGAGAGCAAAGAGTCTAGGTGGAGCTCACCAGCCCCTACCACTAGCTAAAAAGCTAAACCCAACAGTGAAAAGCACAGTAGTATTGGGAAAAGATAAGAAATGGACAAGAGCATGGAAAGAGATCCTCTCTGAGAGGCAGCACAAAGAGGGAACCTAAAGCTGAGGATGGAGCTAACACTGAGGGGAGGGGGAAAGTTTAGCACCCTAAACCCAAGGTGGATAGCAGAATTTAAAGCCTGTGATGCATTAAGGTTAGCCATAGAAACAATAGACTTCAAAGCCAGTTCAAATCC